ATCACAATTTATTTCAAATTAATATTAACTTGATTGCCATGAACTATAAAATGTTTAACATAACTCTATTATTTCCCCCTCTTGTGCTATTATTTTCATATATATTACATCTATATCTTACAAAACCAATGTTACAGTGTTATAATTATCTATTTACACAGTTATATTTTTAAAAATAATTTAACAGAAGAAACGTGAAAATATATCTAGATTCTTTTATTTTTAACATGGGCATTTATTACATCTACACTCTGTATTTCTTCCAGTTAATTTGGGCTACCATCTCGTGCCATTCCCTCCCAGAATCCAAAGAATTTTCTTTAATATTTGTGATAAATCAGTTCTGATATCAAGGAGTCCTCTCAATCTTTTTAAATTTTGGAATGTCCTTATTTTACCTTTATAACTGGCAGATGGTTTCACCAGATAAAAAATTCTTCATTACCAGTTTTTTCTTTCAGTATTTTGAATATATTACTTCACTGCCTTCTAGAGTCCATTCTTTCTGATGGGAAGTTAAATATTATTTATATTTATGCTCTCTTTAACATATTAAATTGTTTTTTCTCAAGTCCCTGATTTGCTCAGTCAGTTAAGCATCTGCTTTTGGCTCAGGTCATGATTTCAGGCTCCTGGGATTGAGCCCCATATCTGGTTCCCCACTCAGTGGGGAGCATGTTTCTCTCTCTCCCTCTGCCCCTTGCCCTGCTCATGCTCTCTCTCTTTCTTTCAAATAAATAAATAAAATCTTTTAAAAACTGTTTTTCTTTTGTTTTTTCTCTTTGTGTGGGGCTTTTAATACTTTGACTATGACGTGTCTAAGTATAAATCTCTCAATTTTTCCTATTTGTGGTTCATTAAGCTTCTTAGATGTGTAAATTAATATTTTTTTAACTTGGGGCCATGATTTCTTCAAAAAATTATAATAACTATTGGACCCACAATTTGAGGAAGTATATACAGATAAAATGTGAGACATTTATTGGGAAAGTCTAGGAACCAGAAAATTGGAATGAGTATATGTACTTGAATTCAGATATAGCCTGAAACTTTGGGCACCTTGGGTACCCCTTGATCTGATTATCAGTTGTTTCTCCCTGTGTGTCTCTCTTTCTGCATTGCTGGAATTCAACTGGAAGATGAATTTCTAAATTATTAGCCTGAATTTTTAAAAAGCCACCACAGAAGAGTATCACTATGTGATTCCTTTTGCATGAAACTCTAGAGAAGACCAAACAAATCTATGGTTATGAAATCAAGAGAGAGAGTTCCCAGACAGAGGTGTCTGAACAGTTTAAAAAATGATCTACTATACTTGGGCACTCAATAGATGGAATCTATGTCAAATACTCATTCAGATAAGGTCTGAATACAAGTATACCTTCATGAGAGACAGTACAGTCCAAAATCTTTTTAAAATGATCACTACTCATATGAGGATGGATGTGAAGTAAGTACACCTTCACCCCCAGTTCCTGCTATAATGGACTTTGAGTGAGGTCAAGATCAAGGTGAGGAAATTATATTCCTTCACTTAGGTGGATTTACCAAGCATCCAAGAAGCCCAAAATTATTATCAAAGAAAAAAGATATGGTCAAACATCTACTAGCAGTTAGTCAAAATAGCTATTCTCTCTACTGTGCACTTTGCCTTTGGTGTACAACTAGGCATTAAACTAGGTCTTTGAGGCTTACAAAGCACTTCAGGTTTCATTGCACTTGGCACACTCTGCAATTGTAAGACTTTTTTGTTTTTTAAGATTTTATTTATTTACTTAACAGAGAGAAATCACAAGCAGGCAGAGAGGCAGGCAGAGAGAAAGAGGAGGAAGCAGGCTCCCTGCCAAGCAAAGAGCCCAATGTGGGACTCGATCCCAGGACCCTGAGATCATGACCTGAGCTGAAGGCAGAGGCTTAACCCACTGAGCCACCCAGGTGCCCCAAGACTTAAAACCACCATTTGTGAGAAGCTAAGAAAAAGAAGTGATGCTTAACTTATTTCTGACAGTTGCTATCCTCTATTTCTCTCTAAATCCTAAGGGATGATCCTAATACAACTTATCCCACAAAAAGAATGCACACTGTCCTTGGGTTTTCCCTGAGCCTGAGTCAGCTTCTGTTGCTGACTTGAGGCCCATAATGAGAATAAAGAACCAGCTATGCTCAGAAGGGAAATTGCAAGGGCTAATCCAGAAATTAAACACACACACACACACACACACACACACACACACACACACGAACTCAAGATCTTGCTCAATAGTACAAGCAGAAACTAGATAGCATATATGTAGGTGGAGCTTTAGAATATTAGGCCAAGAAGGATGAATTCTATTTGGACAGGGCCAAATTTACCAATACAAGTATACTCACTGTTGAATCAGGAGCAGCCCATGGTGCATTTCACACCAATGAAATATATAGAGACAACTCATTGTATTGTAATTTCACTTTATTTTGCTTTGCAGATATTGTGGTGGCTTTTTCTTTTTTACAAATTGAAAGTTTTAATTTGTCATAAATCAGTTTACAAGTTGAAGGTTTCAAATTGTAAAAAGTGCGATAGCTGCAAAGCACAGTCAAGCAAGTCTATTAACACAATTTTTCCAACATCACCTGCTCACTTCATGTTTCTGGGTCACATTTTGGTAGTTCTCACAATATTTCAAACTTTATTATTGTATTTGTTATAGTGATCTGTGATCAGCGATTATGAGTTGCTGAAAGCTCAGAGGACAAATCTTTTATCAATAAAATATTTTAAATTAACATATGTACACTGTTTTTAAGACATGATGCTATTGTATACTTAGTAAACAACGGTATAGTATAGGCATAACTTAACTATTACATACCTTGGGAAACCAAAAAATTTCATTTGGTTCACTTTATTGTAATATTCACTTTATTGTGGTAACCTGAAACCCAACCCACTATATATTCAAGATATGCCTGTGTTTCTCTAATGGGATCCTGACAAATATTTTTTAAAAACTCTTCTGAGTCATTCTCATATGCAGTTATCTTTTTTAGTGACCTGAAGGGATCTGCACTGGTAGCTCTTTGATAGTGAAGTCCATCGAAATGAAGTAGATGGACACCCACTTAAAATACTTCTTAAGATACACATCTATATATGAAATTTTGGGTCTCATGGGCAGAAAATTAACACAAACCATTATATCAGGGCTTCAGATCCTCTTTCCAGTCCTTGATATATCCTACTTTAAAGATAGAAGGCTTTGACTGAAGGTCAGACTGGGTCCCTTTGACAAAATTCCTCACAACTTAGTTATATAATTAATCATTCCCCAAAAGTCCCCAAGGGGGCCAGTCAAATCTCCTTCAACTCAAATCTACAGTGCATAGTGTCATCATAGGAAGTTATGACTGCTGCAGTTGCAGTCTCACTTAGGGGTGGTTCTGAAATGTGTGGAAAAGAAATCTTCCCAGTAGAAGAGGTTTGAGGAGTTTTATTTACTTGTTCATTTTGTGAAGAAGAGACATGTCTTGAGTTTTATATTGATTCATGTCCAGTAGCTCAATGAGTTGTTGAGTAGTAGGGGGCTAGACAAGAATAAGACTGGAAATTTGATGACAGAAAAGTCTAGAGGAGATACATGTGGAAGGAATTCCAAGAATAGGTATTGAATGAGGTTTATAAATGCTTAACTGAAAATAGGCCATGAGCAGAAAGAGTACAAGTGATGTTTGGGTATTTATTCCTTTGGTTCTTCATGCTGAGCCATGTAATCAATGGCCATAATGATGCTTTCCTAAAGCCACTGCTCTCATAAGGGTAGCCTTTCTCCTTCCAGGTTCTGGTAACGTTACCTATATTCACTGTGAGCCCTGTGGCCATATGCCTCCTTATCATCACTAGTTACAGGATGATTTACCAACCCTACCCATGTTTTTAGAGCCCTGTTTATTAGACTGTCCTCAAGATCCTACTGTTTCTCGACAACAGACATCTGTTTCTTGAGGGTACCCTGAATATTAGGTCCCCAAAACAACTTAGATCATAAAGTCCATGGGGATAGGGAATTTAATCTTTCATCTGATGTTGCTACCCCAGCATCTAGAATGTCTCTTGCACCACAGGTTTTCAATAAATGTTTCTTAAATGAACATATGTAGTGACTACTTTCCCTCCATTACTGATCTTTATGTTAAAGTCAATTATTAATGATTTAATATAGTTTGAACAACATTTTTGTGCTTTTATTTGTAATTCCTTAAAGAATGACAAAGAATTATGTCAGCAAAAAAACAGCAAACTTGTTATGCACATAACAGAAGTCCGAGATAACTAACAAAAAATTTGTTGAAAGAGAGAATTCATCATACATCCTACATACATCTACACCTGCAGCATCTGTCTTGACCCCCAGTAGAAGCTCCACACTGGGCTCCAAGGACACCAGGTCATAGCTCACAGGTCCGGTGGCTGTAAAGGGACAAGGTAGAAGTCCCAGGTTGAAAAACTGTAAAGATTATAATTTTACAGCTTTATGATTTCAATCCTAAACACCTCGTCGTCATGCCTTTTTTTTTTTTTTTACAAAATCATTTTTCCTACATAACTTCGAGGGTTTTTTTTCCACACTTCACCTAAGTAACCATAATTTTAATATTTTCAATATACGAACCATATTCAAGTTTTTTCATTGCCTCCAAATAACCTGAGGGGGAAAATGTTATTTCAATAGAGATTCAGTAGAGGAGCACCCTTTACATTTGGTAGAAGAATTCACATTTCACCCTTAATCTCTCGGGGCTCTGACAGAACCTGAGTGAGAAAATTTTAAGAACAGCAGTCTCTAACTTTCTAAAAATTGGAAAAGCCAAAAAAGAGTGACTTTAACAGTGGCCGCGGAGGTCTATGGGAAATGTAGTCCTGACTTCTTGGCTTCCCCGCATGGCACTCTGGGAAGGGAATTCGGGGCTCTTTCTGCGCAAGGGCAGCCGTAGCTCCTCCTCATTCGTCTAATCTTGGACTGCAGGAAAGCGCTTTGAGAGAGCCCCCGGGTCTACTCGAAAAGTAAAGGATGCGAGCATGCGGTGAGATTGCAGGGGAGCTCTCTATGGGAGGGGCGCCCTTGTGTCTAGGGATGGGAGCAAGAAGTCTTTGGGATACCCCTGGTAGACGCCTCGACCAGCCCTCTATCGACATTAGGCCGGTGGGAGTGTGGGGGGAGGTAGGGGGAGATCCCCGGCCCTCCGGCTGCGGTAGCGCAAGTGGGTCTGAGCCCAGTCTTGAGTGTACGGTCCTGGGTGTGTAGGGACAGTGTGGTTGGGCACGCCTGCAGCCCGACTTAGTGTCGGTGGGAGGCAAAGTGCGTCTATAACGCTGATGGTGACCCTGAGTGCGGTGAGAGCCGGAGCACGGGAGCCAAAAAAGGCCCAGGTAAATTTCCAGCAGAGGCGATAGAAGGAATCTGGGTAAGATTCGGGTTTCTCATCTCAAAATTGTATTATACGACTTTTCTAGGGGGTTGTTTTGAAACTTGGATCTAAGTCATCACTTTTAAAGTATTTAGACAAGTACCGGGCACTATGCACTGCGTAAATGACAACTGCTTTCATAGTTAGAAGACACTGTTGTTTTCATTGGACGGTTTATCATAACCTCACAACTACTTAGAATAAACAAACGGACAAAAATTAGAAAACAACCCAGGCTCAGTTTGGTGAAACGATGTGCCCAGGTCACAAGCTAGCAGTGAGGGAGTTTGGATTCAAGGGCAGATGTGCTTTACTTCCAATCTTAGGCATTGTCTAAATATCGCACCTGCCTGAAACCAGCATCGCAGCGTTCACAGCACTAAGCAAAGTGGCCTGTCCCCAAATCCCCAAGGATATAAGGGAAGGTGAATGTAGATGAACTCTGATCATATGTCAGATATATTCTGGTATTTTTAGTGTCTCTTCAGGTCCCTTGGGTCAGAAAGAGGTTCCTAGCCTGTTCAGTATTCTCAGGCTGCCCTTTAAATCTGATATTATAATGAATTCCAGGACTCTTGGTTTTGCCCCTAAAATGAGTTCTTAGGTCCCAATTATGTTGTCTTATCCTTTGGCGTACGCTGATTCAACTAATCTGTTGCTTTGTGTTAGTCACGAGGAAACATGCATTATGGTTAAATCAATCAAGCAAATTTTATGTTCGCTCAGTAAAAAATTGCAGAATTAAACCCACAGTAATTTCAGAGTCACACAAAGACAAGTGGTACATGATCTTTCTCATTCCTTTCAAGGTCCAGAAGGTCCCAGGCCTATGGGGAGGATGATCCTCCAACTGGGTTGCTGAGATGTGGGGAGGTGAGTGTAGGAGCTATTAAGACAGGCTAGATCTCGTGAACTCTATCTTCTTTCTGTCCCCTCAGCTGAACCACAGTTCTGTACACTCTCCCAAGATCCACAGAAAATGAACACACCTCAGGTGAGCTTTTCATTTATTCCTTAGTATTGTAATGGATTTTTGAGGTTTAGAAGGATCCATGTATTAAATGAAAAAGGAGATCTAGGAATATGTCTTGAACAAAAATATATGCTGTTCGACTATCAGCTGTGATGTTTTCTTTCAGCTTTTGGTAGGTAACCTTTGTTAGAGTAGGGTTACGTTCCATCCATGTACCAGGTTGCTAAGATTTCATGTTAGTCATGAATGTGCATTGAATTATCGATTGTCTCTTGTGTATGGATTGGAATAAAACTAAAGCTTATTTCCTTTCATCTGTGAGTACTGTAAACAGTATAACATATTTTCTAATATTAACTTAAATTCCTGTATGGAGCCTAGTTGCTAAAAGTTTGGTTAAGTTGCTTCTTACATATTTTCCTCGGGCCTTTTGCTAATACTATATTCAGGGTTTATGTTTCTGTATCCACAAGTTGGATTAGACTATACTTTTTTGTTTTTCTGTCCAATTATGGTATCATGGTCATAGTCTTATGAAAGTAAATGGAAAACTTTTCTGCTCCTTTTCTTTTCTAGCAATTTAGATGAGAAAGTTGTACTACATGAGGGTTTTTGTGAAATTTTTACATACAGATTCAGACCTTTAGAAGACTTTAGCATAAAGACTCTGGTGTTGACTTATCAGGCATAAGTCTATATTGCATTTGTATTTTTTTCTTTTATTTTCAGATTTATTTATTTGAGAGAGAGAGAAAACATGGGGGAGGGGCAGAGGGAGAGGGAGAGAAAGAATCTCAAGAGGAGTACTTGCTCAGCACAGAGCCCAACACAGGGCTCAATCCCATGACACTGAGGTCATAACCAGAGCTGAAAGCAGGAGTCGGATGCTTAACTGACTGAGCCACCCAAGCGCCCCTGTGTTTTTTCTTAATATAATTTTTGATACATTTTCATAGAAAATTGTTCGTTTTATTTACATTTTTAATGTATTTTCATGAGCTTGTTGATAGCATTCTATTAGTTTCAAAGTCTTTATCTGTTATATCAGTAATCCCTTTTTTCGATCAGCTTTTAAATTTTATTTTAGCCTAAAGGCTGCTAATCAGAAAAGGACAAAATATGTTCTACTTGACCCAGTCTGAAACCCGGAATTTCAGGGTCTGAGATTCTTAATATTCTATTTAGGCAGTGAACTCTAAATATTGGGAATTGAGGAACATATACTGGTCCTATTTGTGCTCTCTACCTTTGCCTACCTACCTGTCAGCACCATTTGTTGACAAAAATATACTTCGTCCATTGAATAGTGTTGGCATCTCTGTGGGAAACCAATCCACAATGCATGTAGGGTCTGTTTCTATTCTCTGTTCACCTCTGATGATCAGTGTAATCCATTTGCTAATACCAGACTATCTTGATGAGTGTCTCTTTACAGTAACTCTTGAAGTCAGATAATGTAAGTCTTTCAACTTTCTTCTTTTTTTAAATTGTTTTGGATAGTCTAGGTCCTTCGCTTCTTTATAGAAAGTTTTGAAAATCTTGTCTGTCTCAAAGACACTTGCTGAGATTTTGATTTTGATTGCACTGAATCCATAGAATCTGTAGTGTAGAGAACAACTTGGGAAGGATTAATATCTTGATCATAATGAATCTTCCAATTCATGGGTACAGTATCTCTCTCCATTCACCTTAGGTGATATGGAGGGTGTTGAGGGTTTGGGGTTTGATATAAAAGGATAGTTTTGACTACTTTCCTGAAAAGGATAGTTTTCAGGAAGAACACTGTCTACTGAACACTGTCTGAAGATACTAGACTAGAAGCAGGAACAATATAGGGGCCTGTTTCTATAATTCTAGCATGAAATGAGGATCATAACAGTGTTAGTTACTTTGTCAAACTCTGGATGTAATTTAAGGTAAAGCCAACAATCTGAGAGTGTGTTTCTTTTCTACAGCCTTCTAAATAGATCATGCTGTTAAATTTTCAACTTTTACCAATGTGATTAAAATAATCTCCATTTGGTTTTATAAGCTTTTCTCATGAATGAGATGTGGAACATCTTTTTTTGTTTTGTAATTAATCTATATTTCTTTTTTTGTTGCTATCCCTTACCTGTTTTTCTATTGATGTATTGATTTTAATTACTGTATCCACTATATCATTATAGCCCTTTCTCTGTGATATAAATTGCACAATTTCCCTAAAGTTTTTTGTAATTTTGCCTTACTCATGATTTTTTTTATCATAAAGGCATTTGATTTTTTTTTTTTAAAGATTGTATTTATTTGAGAAAGAGAGAGACATCATGTGCAAGAGAGAGAGAGTGAGAGAGTACACATGAACAAGAGTGAGGGGTAGAGGAAGAGGGAGAAGCAGGCTCCCCATTGAACAGGGAACCAGCTGTGGGCTTGATCCCAGGGTCCTGGGATCATGACCTGAACCAAAGGCAGATACAACCAACTGAGCCACCCACATACCCCAAGGCATTTGACTTTTATGTCAAATCTAGGAGTTTTTTCATTAATGTTCCTGGATTTTCAGTCATAATTGGGCATTTCCCACTCTAATGTAAAGTAATTGTTCTGTGTAGTCTTCTGGAATTTGATTTTATTTTTTACAGTAGATCTGGAATACATTTTGATATTTATCCTGCTCTGTGGTACAAGATAGTAGTCTTTTCCCAGGCGGACATCTAGTTACCATGTGACATTTTAGTGTCCAGACTTTCCTCATGCATTTGAATGATGTCACTTGTATTCAAATAGGAAATTTACTCTGCTAATCATTCTTCCTGTTACACACTTGGTTCTAGGTCCTGTTCAGTTTAAGTTTGGATGTCTTTTTAGGCTCTCATCACTTCCCTGCTCGGGCCCACGTCTGTGTTTATATTAAGTTATGGCCAACATTATCCTGCTTTGCTTATCTAATACTTTCCTACCCTCTATCTTCCAGAATTTGTTCAAATTTGGGGGGTTTCTGCTGGGACATTTCTCTCTATTCCTCTTTTGTCATACTTTTATATACTTGCTTCGTATTTTACCTGTGTTTTTAAAGGCAGGGAGGTAAATGTGTATGCTCAGTCTATTCCCTTGAACTAGATGAATCATGCTTTTAATTCTTTTTTCTTTTAATTTCCATTACTCTAATATTTCCAGTTTTTCTTTCTAACATTTCAGAATTCTTTCTCAGCCTTCATGGATTTTCTTTTTCTACCTGACTCTTAAATTTTGCTATTCCCTTGAATTCTCTACTTAGTCTTTTTTGCTCCTGTTTCTCTGTCCTTTGTGAGTCATCTCTTTTTTCCAATGACTTCAGTTAGCCATCTTAATGACTGATATCTCCTAATTCCTTATTTTCATTTTAGACCTCTGTCTGTTCCAAAATCATGCAACCAACAATGAAATAAATAATTCCACCTATATTTTCAATAGGTATTTTGAGTGCAAATGAAGAACATCTGCCTCACAATGACCCAATCTCTGACTCGTACTTAATTCTTCCAGTCTCTGCAAATGGCATCCATATTTACCCAGTTGTTTGTGCAGCATCTCTGTAGATAAGTGCACAGGAAAATAATGAGCAGATTTTGTTTCCTGTAAGGATTAATTTCTCATTCTTTATCTTTGCTTTAATATAAGTCATCTCTTAATTATTTTGTTTTGCTGCTTAAGACATTGTCCACCTTCCATATAGAGCAGTGGTTCCTAACTGGAGGTGATTTGCCCCCCAGGAGATGTTTGGCAGTGTTTGGAGATATTTTTGATTGTCACAACTGGGATGTTGCTGGCATCTAATCAGTAGAAGACAGACATATTGATAAATACATTAAAATACACAGGACCGTCTTCCACAAAAATAGCATTATCTGGTCCACAGTGTCAGTAGTGCCAAGTTGAAGAAATCCTGTTCTTTTTTTTTTTTTAATTGTTATTTTAGCCACCATAAAATACATCATTAGTTTGGTTTTTTTGGTATTTAAACTTTATTTTTTCAGTGTTCCAAGTTTCATTGTTTATACATCACACGCAGTGCTCCATGCATTACGTGCCCTCCTTAATTCCCACCACCAGGCTTACCCAACTTCCTACCCCTCCCCCTCCAAAATCCTCAGTTTGTTTCTCAGAGTCCACAGTCTCTCATGGTTTACATTGTTAGTTTTTGATGCAGTGTTCTGAGAGTCATCGTTTATGTACAACACCCAGTGTATTGCATAAATACATATTGTACATAAACAAAGAAATCCTGTTCTAAAGCATTGCTCCTGAAATATGAATCTGGTGGTGTATAAATAATTCCCCCGTCTCACATGTATTCTCTTCATTAGTTCTCTATTACCCCAGCAGAGATCTCCAGACTGGTATGTGTAGACTCTACCAAGTGCTCAGCATAATCTCTTGGTGTATGGGAAATGCAGACAGGAATCCTATTTATAATAATTTTACCTTAAAAAATAAGGCACTAGTTTTCTCATTATATTAAGTGGCAATATATGTATATAAATTAAAAATAAATATAAATAAATCAGAGCATGAGAATTTTTTTTAACTAATCGTGAGTATATCCCTGAAATATAAGACAGAGTTGAGCCATGATAGTCATCCTTTATAGCATTTTGTTTTAAACTCTAAACAGTAAACACAGTAAGACTTAGTTTCCAAAAATCTTTTTCCATGTGCCTGGTTCTGGCCCTCAGATTGATCAGAAATGTGCTGTTGCAGGCAACAGTGTCGTTCAAGGACGTGACTGTGGAGTTTACCCAGGAGGAGTGGCGACAGATGGACTCTGCTCAGAGGACCCTGTACAGAGATGTGATGCTGGAGAACTATAGCCACCTTGTCTCAGTGGGTGAGCAGACCTTACCACCCTTTTGACTGCATGTTCTAGTTTTCTTTTCTCTTTTTAAAATGTTAATCACTCTTGTTGAGGTGTGTTTAACAGAAAATAAAACTCGGAAGTTTTCAGTGTTTAAGTCAATGAGTTTTGAAAAATTGTATAGTAGATTTTTATCATCAAACTCATAATTTGGAATGTTTCCATCACCCCTAAAAGATTCTTGTACCCCTTTGCAGTGAGTCCCCTGTGCCCATCCCTAACTCTCTTATCTCACTTAACACACTTTCTAATGCAATTTGCCTCTTCTCAGATTTTGTATAAATAGAATCATAAAGTATATATTCTCTATTGTCTGGCTTCTTTCACTTAGCATAAATGCTTTTGAGCCTCATGGATGTGTGTGTCTTCCTTTCAGTTGATAGATCCAGGGTCTTTCTTCCAGTCTGGGGCTATTATGAATAAAGCTGCTATGAACATTTATACAAGTCTTTGTATCAACATGTTTTAATTTCCCTTGTGTAAATACCTAGGAGTGGGTTTGCTGGGTCTTCTACTAAGTTTATATGTAACTTCATAAGAAACTGCCAAATGTTTCCAAGTTGGCTCTACTGTTTTTCATGCCCATGAGCAATGTCTGAGGGTTCTCATTGCTCTTTGGTTACCAACATTTGGTTTGGTAAGTCTTACTATTTTTAACCATTCTACTTAGGATCTAGTTATATCTTACAGTGTTTTAATTTGTATTTCCCTGATGATTAACTATATGGAACCTCTTTTCATGTGCTTTTTTTTTTTTTAACCAATAATAATCTCCTTTATTGGAGGGATCACATTTTCAGCTCCGTTTTTTTAGTTTAGTTTTTTGGGCTTTTTCATCTCAGAAGTTCAGACCTCTGTCTAATACATGTTTTTACAAACTTTTTTCCTCTATCTTTGTCTTGCCTTTTTAAGAAGAGAATGTTTTCCAGTTATTACTATTTTATACAAACTTTTGAAGAAACTTTAAAGATGATAATTGGCACAATTTTATTCTTCAAAAGTTTCCCCTAGTGCTTATATCTTACATAACTGTAATATAGCAATGCTAGTAAATAGGCATTGGTACAGTGTGTATGAATAGCTCTATGCCATTTTATCTCATGTGGAGATTTGTGTAAACACCACAACAATCAAGATATAGAACTGTCTTATTGCCCCAAAGAGTTCTTTCATGCTACCTCTTTATAATCATACCCAACCCCTCTCCCACACTATCCCTAATCTCTACCAACTACTAATCCACTCTTCATCTACCTAGTATTCCGCTATATGAATATAACATTTATTTAGCCATTCTTCTGTTGGAAGATATTTTATTATAAATAAAGCTGCTGTGAACATTCATGTTCAAGTTTTTGTGTGAACATAAATTATTATTCTCTGGAATAAATGCCTAGGAGTATGATTGGGGTTATATGGTAAGTATGTTTCACTCTTTAAGAAACTGCCAAACTATTTTTCAAAATGGCTGCACCATTTTGCATTTCCACCAGCAATATATGACAAATCTACTTACTCCCTATTTTTCCTAGTATTTGGTGTGATAACTATTTTTTTAGATAGTGATTGTAATGGGTATATAATGTAGCTCAACATGGTCTTAATTTGCATCTCCTTGATGGCTAAGGATGTTAAATATTTCTAATACTCCTATGCCATCTATGTATCCTTAGGAAAGTGTCTGTTTATGGCTTATATGCATTTTTTCCATCTTTACTGCTATATAATGACAAAAATTATATATTTTAGCTGTACAACTTGATATTTTGATATATGTACACATTCTGAGTCAATTGCCACAATCAAGCTAAATAACATATCCATGACCTGACCTAGTTACCTTTGTTTTCTTTGTGGTGAGAACACTTAAAATCTGCCATCTTGGCAAATTTCTAGTAAACAATACAGTATTTTTAACTATCCTCAGATTGCTGTATGTATAGATCTTCATAACTTACTCCTCTTGCATAGAACTGAACTTTGTAACCATTCACCAACATCTCCCCATTCCCCATCTCCCCAGCCCCTGGCAACCACCATTCTACTTTCTCTCTATGAGTTTGACTCTTTTAGATCCACCAACATCCATATTTGTCTTTCTCTGTCTGGTTTATTTCATTTAGCATAATGCCTTCAAGATTCATCCATGTTGGGGCAAATGTCAGGATTTCCATCCCCTTTTTTAGCTGCATAATGTTCCTCTGTGTGTGTGTGTGTGTGTGTGTGTGTGTGTACACATCTTTAATCATTTATCCATCAACAGTTAGATTGTGTCTTGGCTATTGTGAATAGAGGAGGAGGGGGAGGAGGAGGAAAGAAAGAAAGAAATCTTAGATCAGTAATTTCTTTCTTCTTTCTATTAGGTGCACTTAATGCTATAAACTCTTCTCTGAGTACTGCTTAACTGCATTATACAAATTTATTTTCATTTAAAGATATTTTCAGAATTTCTCTTGTGACTTATTTAGTGCATTATTTAGAAGTATGCTGGTTAATTTCCAAATATTTAGGAATACTCCTGCTGTCTGACTGTACTTGATTTCCTATCTACTTCTGGTGTAATATGAGGACATATTGTTTTAACTTGTACACATTTAAATTTGTTAAAATATGGTATGTGACCTAGAATGTGTTCTCTTTTGGTGAGTGTTTCATGTATACTTCAGGCGAATGTGTATTCTTCTGTTGTTGGAATAGCCTTAATATATGTGGATAGGTCCAAGTTGGTCGCTAGTGATGTTCAAGTCATCTATATCCTTAGGAATCTGCCTTCCTAATCTATCAGTGTTGACAGAGTAGAGCTTAACGCTCCAAATCTAACAGTGAGTTTTGTCTACTTCTTTTCTGTTTTATCAGTTTTTGCCCCATATATTTTCAAGCTCTGTTTTTAGGTACATAAATACCTAGAACTGTTATGTCTTCTTATAGAGTCAACCCCTTATCAACCCCTTATCAGTAGGTAATGCCCTGGTAATACGTGTGATGTTTGGTAATCTTCCATGTTTTGAAGTGTTCTTTCTGTCAAGTCAATACAGTTCAATTTTTTTTCTTTGATAAGTGTTAGCATGATATATTTTTCTTTATCTTTTACTTTTTAATCTATCTGAGTCTTTGCATATAAAGTGTGTTTCTTATAGTCAGCATAGAGTTCCCTTCTACCTTTCTTTTTTTTATCCTATCTGACAGCCTCTTTTATTTGGTATTTTTAGACCATTCACATTTGTGGTGACTAATTGATGTAGTTGGATTAAATTTTTTGTAACTTTTCTAGTCATTGAATTTGTTCATTGGTTTCCCCACCAATTCCTTTTTCCTTTTTGCCTTCTTTGCTTCCAAGAACATTTTATATGAATCCATTTTATTCTTCCTCTTGATGTATCATTTATACTTTTTTTAAAAATCTTTAGAGTGGTTGCTTGTTATTGACATTAAACATTTTTAAAAGTAATCTGTGTCCATTCTACAACACCATAACCATACCACTTAACATATAGTGCACATATTTTATACAGAGTTAGGTTCTGAGATCACTAGCCAATCTCTTTCCTTTGTTATACTGTCCAAAGTCTTCATATGTTTGCTTTATATATTATATCTAGGATTTCACATGGATTTAAGGAGAGGTACAGAGTGATGTCTAACTAATTGTATCTGGAACCATCAGCCTCTGAAATTTTCACACTTAAGAATTGCCTTTAAATTTAATGTGATTTTTAAGTATGGGAAATATTTATGTAGTTCAAAAACCCAAACTGTGTTAAAAGGTATATTCAGAGTTTTCTCATTTCCATTCTTGTCCCCTCTGTTCATTTCCCTCCTGTCCTACTTTTAATGCTTTCTGATTTTTCTTCCAGTGTTTCCTTTTTGCAAATATAAGTAATTACATAATTCCTATCTCCCTTTCTTTCTCCCACACACTATTCTGCTTCTCTCTTTTTGACCTTATGCTGATTATTCATTATTTGTGTGTAAGCTCTTATCTATATTTTGAATACATGGTCTTCACTTGTGGGTGGATGCAACCCAAGTTTATTAACTAGTCAATGATGAACATTTGGGTTTTTATATTTTACTGTTATTACCAGCAATGCTATAATGAATAACCTTGTGCATATATTATTTTCTAACTGTGCAGGTATAGCTTTAAGATAAATTCCTAGAGATGAGATTGTTGGGGAAAAGCTAATGTATCTGAAATATTTTAGTGCCCCAAATTTATATTTCTTAAAAATAAATGTGATTCTATTACTATTTTACTTAGAACACTCACTGGCTATTGATTGCTTAAAAATTTCAGAATATGGCTCCAAGAAAATATATTCTCTTGATTCTCTTCCACATCTTGTACTATGTGCCCTCTTGTTTTCTTTGTTGCAACCTTACTGATCTGTTTTTAGGACCTGGTGCTCACTGTCTTCTTTTCTTACAAGGATCTTGGTACTTGCTTTTATCTCTGTTTGGAGTGCTTATATTTCCTTATTTCAGTTACTCCTACACTTCCCTTAAAGATTTTCTCAAGCCTCGTTTTATCTTAACATTTCTTTTTCTTTGAGTTTGAAAACTTTCATGAAAATAGTAAATAATCCAGTGAACCCCTCCCCACCCAGCTTCAACAAATAGCACACTTTTTTTTATGGAAAATTTATTGAGCTCCCTGAAGTCAACTATTGCTGTTAGAAATATTGCATTGTATGTTTTTGATTCCTTGTGCTTACCAAATTTGCAGATTTACATTTGTTTATGTAATTTAATTGTAATTTGCCCAAGAATGCTGAGCTTCCTGAAAGGAAACATTCTGTATTTTGTTCATAATTACTTTTCTAGTACTTAGTCGAGTACTTGACTGAGTATTCAGACTATCTTAGGAAAAGGCTGTGCTATTAAATAGTTGGAGAATTGCACAGGTGTCCCCAAATAGGGAGTATTAAGTAAATAGTTACATTTTAATTCTATTTCTTCAAGATCACATACTG